GTTCTGAGGAAGGGTCACCGGACCCGAAACGTTAACTCTGTTTTCTCCTCCACAGATGCTGCCAGACCTGTTGAGCTTTTCCAGCAACTTTGTTTTTGTTCCTGATTTACAGCATCCGCAGTTCTTTTGGTTTTTAAATACAGCACTACATATTCCACATCCCACAGTGCCAATCTAATAAGTCCCCTAAATCTATTTGTCACCTGACTGCAAATCACATTTCCTTTCATAGACATCCTGGTGTGGAGCCTCACTGAATGGGAGCTTAGACAGTAATTAAGGCTGATTCTGTGATCCATGCTGTTATCTTGTAAAGCTCTAAGTCAAAAGTGAAGCTTTGCAAATTTACCTCTGTCTGGGTTCCAGCATGAATCCCTGGGGTGGGCACTTGTCACTGCCTATTTTATTTATTCATATGGATTTTATTTTTTCTTACATCATTTGAGAATTAATTATGTACAGAAATACTTCCCTTTCACACACATGCCCATGACAGTCCTCCTGCCATATTTTTGTAGCTCCTGATCGATAGCGTTAAATTGGATCAGTTGCTCATGCTTTTGACTCTGAGTCAGAAGGTTGTAGGATCAAGCACTTGGGTACCTAATTCAGATTGACACTGCAGTGCAATACTGAGGGAGCTAGTAAAATCAGTCCATTTTCTTTTATTAGGGGACAGTTCAGTTTTTGATGGTGTACCTCCATCTCATCCCTTTTTTTTCAACAATCTCATTCTAAACCACTTCTATTAATGCAGTTAATGTTAATTTTTTTTACATTTCTCAATATCAATGTGGTTAATTCCTTGACTAGTTAGTCAAGGCATTTCAAAAACCACTGGTGCTGATAATTTTACTTCAATGAACATGATGTTCACTTTGTTTAAAATAATTTTCTCAAACAAAATCATCAAAAGCTCTTGCTTGTTAAAACAAAGTTTCTGTGCTAATCTGATTTCATAAACTATTTACCTACAATTACTGCCAATACATAGTAAGACAATCTTGTTAACAAAATTTATGTTATTAAGTGCTACGTTCCATTAGATGAAAACTTATCATTGACTGTAAATAATCATGCAAAAATGTGGAAGATACTACTGATCTGATGACAGTTACATGTATAACATTCTCACAGGACCCCTTTCTGCATTAGTTAATAGTGGCCATTATTTCACAATCAATGTCAACTTAAAGTAACTATTGAGGAAAAAATGTTTACCAGTCATGTCTGTGGGAGGATAATAGCTGACTCCAATTGCTGTTCCAAGTGTCTATGAAAGTTTTGATGTGTAACTTGACTATAAGACCAGCAAAGTAATAGAAGATTGAAATAGGATTCTTTAAAGTTCAGGGGAATCTATTGTGGAAATAAATGCTGTTGTGTGTGTTGTGATCAGGAAGTTTTCCCAACAGGTATACCAAGTGAAAGGCTATGCCAAGGTAGGTCTTTTAGATTTAATGCCTCATTACATGCTTTAGTCATCAGAATAGAAAATGCAAAGACAACACAATCCAGTTCTGCAACTTCCAAGAATTTTAAATATTCTGACATCAATTATTAACTTGTACCTAAGTGCTTTTATTGTAACTAGACTGAACTTTAAACACTATATACTACTCCAACAGACATAGCAATCCCCTTTACTTGCATGGGACTATCATACAGCACTGACTGTGCAATGCAAATGGAGCAACGGAGCAGCAATGTGGAAGATTTCCCTGTTAATGTATTTTCCGTGACTCCCTGTCAACCTAGAACCCCTGGAGTCCAGGTGTCAGATGGTGATAAGGCTGGGGCCACATTGCTATTCTCAGGTGTCTTTTTGGTTCTAGTGGGCATAACTTTCACAATAATGGGCTGGATTAAATACTATGGCACCAGTGATTTAGAATGGACACAGTTACTAGGACCGATTCTACTTTCTGTGGGAGTCACTTTTGTTCTGATTGCTGTTTGTAAGTTCCGAATGTTAACTTGCAAAACTTGCAAGCAAATTAATGAGAGTGCATTGGAGACTGAGCAAACGCCCTGTGGACAATCATTTGTTTTTACAGGAATTAATCAACCTATAACTTTCCATGGAGCTACTGTTGTACAGTATATTCCTCCTCCATATGCATCTCCTGCCCAAGATGGCATTACCATGAACACAACCCGCTTGCAATCGCTGAACAACGCTCAGAACACTAATCTAGCTGATGGCACTACAGGGACAACCCCATGCCCTCCACAGTACTATACCATCTACCCTCTGGATAGCACAGCTTTTGCAGGAGATGATAATTGCCCTCCTTACCAAGGACCAGAGAACGAAATAATCAGGTATGTTCTATATACCATTACTTATGTTTTAGCTCCCTATAGAAGACAAATTTAATGAACTCATGCCGCAGGAGAATCAACGTGGCACACAGAGAAAAATTGTTTCCAAGCTCCTTTTAAACAGCTTAGATTAGTTGAATCCCTTTTTAATATACAGTATGTAGTGCTTTATGTCAATTGGTTATGTGTGGTGCTTTATTTCTGAACACAGGACTATTTTCTGAGACTTACATACCGCACAAGCTACATCAGTCCAAAAACCTTGGTTATAGAAATATAATAAAAGCAATTCTATTTTTATTGTGTCACCAGAAATCTTTGGATCTGTAACAGATATTATTAAGGACCTCTACTAAGTTACCAGTGGAGAATTTATAAAGGCTTTTATTACATTAAACATTCCAATGCATTTATCCACCTAATTCTTGTACCAATTAGCCTGTAGATATTACACCTCGTAGAGGTGCTGGCGTTGGACTGAGATGGACAAGGTCAGAAATCATTCAACATCAGCTTATAGTCCAACAGGTTTATTTGAAAACACATGCTTTCAGAGCCTCACTCCTTCTTCAGGTGTTAGTGAGAGACGTAGTATCAGACAAAGAATTTATAAGTAAAAGATCAAAGGGTCACACCCCTGATGAGGAGATATTAGACAAACCTAAGATGCTATTAAATCTTTAATCACTTGGAAGGTTTTAATTGATTAATATGTATATGTAAATCACTGAATTCCTTTCAAGTCACTGCTCTGAAAGACCAAAACGTTTTATCAGTGTAAAGAAGAGGTGATGTTTTAGGTCAGACAATGCATGTTAGGTGTGAGGCCTTGTTAAGAATCTGTTTGTGTTCTGGTTTGAAGTCAGACTGGTTTTATTTCTAAAGTAGGAATTTATAAAACGCCAAATTGACTGACTATCTATAAATTGTGTGCTTTTTGAACAAATAGAATGTATCTACAAATACAAATTCACTCCATAGATTCACGTGTGTGTGTGTGTGTATGTGTGTGTGTCCATCTGTATGTGTGAGGGAGAGAGGGAGAATGTGTGTGTGTGTGTGGGAGAGAGCTTGTGTGCATGTACGATAACGGATGAATGGACACCGTGTAACAATCACCAGACAGGAACGTTCCCTCCCAGTGGGGCAACACTTCAGCGGTCAAGGACATTCAGCCTCAGATCTTCAGGTAAACGTCCTCCAAGCTACACTTTAGGATACACAACAACATAGAGACATCCAACAGATGCTGATAGCCAAGTTCTGTGCCCATGAGGACGGCCTCAACCAGGATCTTGGGTTCATGTTGTACTGCAGGTGCCACATATTCACACACACACTCACACACAGGCATACATACACACACACATACACACACACACACACACACACACACACACACACACACAGGCATACGTACACACACACACACACACACACACACACACACACACACACACACACTCATACACAGGCATACATACACACACATTCTCTCCCACACACACACAGATACACACTCTCTCTCTCTCACACACACAAACACACACACACACATGAATCTATGGGCTGAATGTGTATTTGCAGATACATTGTATTTTGTTCAAAAAGCACACAATTTATAGATAGTCAGTCAATTTGGCGTTTTATAAATTCTTACTTTGGAAATAAAACCAGTCTGACTTCAAACCAGAACACAAACAGATTCTTAACAAGGCCTCACACCGAACATGCATTGTCTGACCTAAAATGTCACCTCTTCTTTACACTGATAAAACCTTTGGTCCTCTCAGAGCAGTGACTTGAAAGGAATTTGGGGATTTACATGTACATATTAATCAATTAAAACCTTCTAACCGATTAAAGATTTAACGGCATCTTAGGTTTGTTTAATATATCCTCATCAGGGGTGTGACCCTTTGACCTTTTACTTACAAACTGTGTGTCCTCTCTCACTAATGAAGAAGGAGTGAGGCTTCGAAAGCTTGTGTTTTCAAATAAATCCATTGGACTATAACCTGGTGTTGTGTGATTTCTGACGTTGTAGACATTGAGCTGGGTAGACAAGGAAGAATGAAAAGTGTATTTATCTACATTATCCACCACACAATATGATGATTGCTGATAATCCAACTCAGTAACCTGTTCCTGACTTTTCCCCATACCCCTTGATTCCTAAGGACTATATCTAACTTTTTCTGGAAAGCATTAAATGTTTTGGCCTTGACCATTATTTTGTGGCAGAGAATTCCATAAGCTGGGTGAATTACTTGGGGTTGCATTCTCTGGATTAAAAAATTCTTCTAAATGGCCTACACCACGTCTGTAGGCTATGACCCCTGGTTTCATTAGGAACATCCCACCCACGTTTACCCTGCCTAGTTCTGTTAGAATTTTATAGGTTTCTATGATTTCATTCCTCTCCCTTCTAAAATCTACTATCCTTACCGATCCAGTTTCTCTTCAGATGCCAGTCCTGCCACTCCAGGATGGTCACCTTTGAGGTTAATATTGAAAATCCATGCATTTAACATTATATTGAAGAAGGCAAATAGAGATTAATAATCACAACATTTTACCTAAATATAAATATTTGACAGTTTATTCCCAGACCAATCAATCAATAGGCTTTTAGGGAAAAAAAATACCCAGCATTTCTACCATGGTGTGAGACATTTCTAAAGTCGAAAATAAGTTTTAAGCAAAACAAATTCAAATGTTAATCTATCAAAAGAAAACATGTCTTAAAATCTATTCATTGATTTTTATGTATTGTAAATACATTAACTATTAATGTTTTTATTTGCCCATTTCAAAGTTTTTGATTGTGTTTGTGATATTTCACCCGAGCAAGAACTTAGTAAACTGAAGGCGGGCTCTAACCTAATCTGCTGACAAAGGAAATTACTTATTTCCTCTGTTCCCTAATGTGACGTTCTTAAACTTGAGAATAAAGCTATTATGTCTGGACTCTCAAAGAAGAACATTTTATATAAATCATCATCTTAAAATTAGTCTCTAGTAATATTAATCACAATTCTGTGGGAGACTCAAACTGTTCATGGATTAGGAACCCACGGCCTGGATTAATAATCATGAGAGCATGAGTTCAAAGCTCACAATGAGAAAACTGGAAGTAACAAGCTGCCATCAGTAAAAAATATGTGGATGTATTTATGAAATTGCTGGGAAAGCCCGAATGGTTCACTACAGTCCTTTGTAAAAAGAAATCTTCTATCCTTACCTGGTCTAATTTAAAGGTGACTCCAGTCTGGTATGAGGAATTATTGAGGGTGGTTGATGTATACTTCAGTGTTAGGAGAAATTTCACAATTCAACATTTAATCAGGGGAAAACAGTGGTCTGGGGAAAGCATATATTTGTTCTTAGACAAATTTTGCACATATGACGGCTGAAGTTAGAATTAGTTTGCAACAAAATCATGGTCAGAATTTCAGATGAGGCCTTATCAGATATTTTACAAGATGGAGAGGATTTGATGCTAGAAAAACAAGTGCAGATTGCTGAGCAAACTGAACTTGAAATAGTAGAATTCAGTGTTCATTCAAGGAGAAAATGATATACCGTGGAAGAAATTACGTGAAGTGATTCAGCATTTAGGTTCCAAAGGAGAAAACCCATGCAAAGGATAGGCCATCAAAATGGAGAAAAGTGCACCAATCACCAAGTGGGATAATGCGAAATCAATCCATTTGTGTTCACTGAGGGAAGGGCCACACCCTAACACTTGGTTATATTTTAAAAAAAAAACACATTGCATGCTCAGACAAGGAATAATTTCACCAGTTACTGCATAGTACTGACAAGTTGGTGTTCAAGAATGGCTACAGTCTCAAAACCTAATGGTTCCATGAGAATTTATGTGAATGTAACATATGTGAGTAAAACACTGGGACGAGAAATTCACCAAACTGCTTCAGTGAATGAAAATCTAGCGAATCTAGCTAAGAGTACTCTATTCACCAAACTGGATGCATACAGTGGATTCTGTCAATTACCTTGAATGAAGACTCCAGAAAGCTGACTACATTTATTACACCGTTTGTGGACTATTGGAAAAGCATCCACACCAGAAATGTCTCAAAAGGTAATGTCACACGAACATTGTAACAATCCATGAAGTTATGAAAAAGGAAATTAACCAAAGACTTGGAGGTGCTTCAGAATGCAGGTTTAAAATTGGAAGTGGGCATATGCAAATGAAGAATTACATTTCTTGGGTGCCTAATCTAGGCTACAAGACTCAGTAGATTCCACAAAACCAAAGTTATTAGAGAACCAAGAACATTGTCAAGCTTCAAAGGTTCCTTGGAATGGTAAATCATATGGGAATGTTTTGCCAAGCAAAAGTTGAAGTTAATGAACCTTTAAGATAGCTGTTATGCCTGGATCAAAATAATGTTGGAATATTAACCAGGAAATAGTGCTTGACAAAATCAAACAACTCCTGATCTCATCAAAATTTTAGCACACTGTGGCTGATGCATCTTCAACAGTATTGGGGGCAACACTGTTGAGGTGCAGAAAATGGAAAGAGTGGGCCAGTCATCTAAGCCCTTAAATCACATACTGAGATGGAAAAATGGGCTAGTACAATTAGTAACAATGTGGACATGTGAACATTTTTCAGCCAATCCACTTACAATAAAACTCCACACCTTGGGAGCGCAAAGGTAACTATTTTTGTAATGCTGCAGCAAAGACATTGTGCGGTCAGGGACATTTACCCAGAATACATTGATACAATTGAACAAGAAAACATGGACTGGACCAGGTTGCTCCTGCTGGCTGTTCATTTGTGTTCTCAGTGCTCACTCACTTTGGACCTACCTGGATATTCACAACAGACCTGCCTGCCTTGTCTTGCCTTTTGCACCTTGGCCCTCAGTTCACTGACATTGACATGCCATTTAGCAGGAATACAAAACTGAGAAACTTGTCATGTTTGTCAGCAGTTCTCAATCAAGTTAAGGGAGATAGTCTTTGATCAGGGAACTAGCACAATAAGACAGGGACAGCCTCCAATATCAGACCAGAGGCTTGGACACGGTCGGTCAGTTACTCAGGGTGGTCACTGTCTGGATCCTCTCCTCATAAAGGGTAAGGAGCTAATGCCATCTCTTGACGTTTCTGCCCTGTTGTGTGCTGTTTCCCTCCTGAATGAGAGACAGTCAGATATTACAGGGGATGGAAGTGAGTGTCACAGCTATTATTCTCAGTGCCGTTGGAGATATGTGCTGCTCAGATGGGAAGGCAGTGTATTAGGCATACAGGATTAGTGGTGTCAGGAGTGAGGGAGAACTTTGCATGCTGTGATGAGAGTGATAGAGCAAGAGTCTTGGTGTGAGGTGGCTCCAGTAGCAGAAATAGAGTGTGAGGTATCAGAGAGAAGGTGGTGGCATTCAAACTGGCAGAATGGAGAATGTTATTGACCTACTTCCTAGGGTGCTGGGCATTCCTCCAGATGGCTGAGATTGCACTAACCTAGGTGGCAGCCTCAGACCAGGTTGGCATTGTTCGCTATTGTGGCCTCCTCTTGAGGTCCAGGGGAAGAGGATACACCATCTGTCAACCAGGACCTTCAGGTTCCTGCAGGCAAAACGGGATTCCAATTTTCCCTTATCTGTCACATCCGCGCAAATGTCAGGAACAGCGGCTGGCTGATGGTGCAATGCAGTTGCACAGCAGCCTTTTAAAGATGTTGATGGCAGCGGGAATACTGGTCCATTCTGGGATATCCTGGCAGTGGTGATTGGTATAATCTGACTAGAATCAGATGAGAGAGGAAAGGCAGGTAGTTGATGAGGCCAGTTTAGTAAGACATGGTCAGAAAATTCACTGGACCTTGCAGTAAGAAACCCACCAAAAACCTTGATGAAGTTGACACTCAGCCAAAACAAAATAAGATCTAGCCCAGTGTCTCAAACAATAGTCTGCAGTTTGTAAATGAACCATCCACGTGATTTGCACATGGATCTAATTTTTATAATTCCACATGTTTGCTCCACCATCCCCAAATGAATGCTGAAACTGAGTGAGTAGTCTAAATCATCAAGAGAGTATTGAAGATAAACAAGGATTAAATCTTGCACCATTTAGCTGCAGATCATCATCACTACAAATGAAATATCACCATCAGAGTCATTGATGGGTAGGAGACTGAGAACATAACTTCAATCATTGTATCAGAAGCTATAGCCTACCATCACTGAGAATGACTGCAACAGACTAAAGCAGTGTGAAGAAGAACGAAGATATGTCCAGCCTAGAAAAGGTACAGATTGCAAGAGTCACCAGAGTGACAACCCAGGCATAGGGTATGGATAAGAAGTCCACAGTGTTAAGGAATTATTATAGAAAAAAAATACAGCAGCCAATATCATATAAGGAAACTGACTGAGGGATAATAAGGTGAAATCAGAACATATTTTTGAACGTATAATGGAACAAGAAAACAGTAGAAGTCTCCTTATCTGAGGTTGAAATGGAACAAGAAAGCTTTGCAAACAAGCAGTGGAGGAACATCCAAATGAAAATATGAGGAGTGCAGGGCATCCAAAACCTCAGAATTAAGACCATAACTTCAGGGAGATTGGTCAAAAAACCATAAAGACTAACATTATGAAGTCTGAGACTTTGAGGGGGTGGGGCGGTGGAAGATATTCATAAGGGGGATGAATAGATTTGACAGTGGGGAAGAGATGTAGCATAATGAGACATCAGCAGAATGTATAATGATGAAACTGAATGAGAGTCTAGAGAGAGTGTACTTATGTACTAAGCTGTAAGTAAAGTGTTCATACAGAAAGAACCTTGGGCTGAAGAAACAGTTCTTTGGACACTAATTAGAGTTAGAAATCATCCACACAACAAAACAGTAACATGCATCAGAATGGTTGCAGCATGCAGAGAAGTTTTTCCCAGACCAGCATTTTCCTTAGTAACTGCCAAGAATCCACTAATATGCCCAATGGAGACAGATCAAGGAGCCTGCCAGTTGATGGAAGGTGAATACCACAGGGTACTAGAGCAATGGAGCTAGCAGGATACATGTCTTCAAGAAGCAGGAGTAGGTGTGATTCTATGTTGGATGTGAGGGGTGCCTTATAAAAATAATTCATCTATTTCATACATGAAGGCCACTCAGTTACAGTTCTCATAAAATATAGGACAAAATCTTGGGACTGGATTTTATTGGCATCGTATTCCGATTCCCCTAACCCCTCTCCCTAGCCAAAACAAACTCCATGAATTACAATCCTCCAAAGTACCAGCTTACAGTTTAACAAAAATGGAATATAATTTATTCGCAGTAATTCAATGGTCCTGATGCAGACCAAAAATCATAGTTTTATAAATTAGAATATTCTCTGATTTATCATGAACAAAAACTCAGAATCTATGCTATTATTCATCATTGTTGTGCTTCTGACTGCAATAATTTTTCAATGTCTAAGGTTCATAATTCAGTTGAATCTTTACTGAGAAATTAGTATAAATTGAAACCTTATAATTATTTGAGTATTTTTATGCTAATTCATGCAATATTGGTAAAATATCTCCACAGGTCTGAGGAAAGCCAAGATGAATCAGAAGCCATGTTAACTGTTGATGAAGTGCCTGATAGCATTCCGCCACCTTCATATGATGAAATCTTCCCGGTAGTGAGTGAGGATACTGTAGAACGTTAACTCTGCTGAGTTTGTCAAGCTACATGACTGAAACATGATCATGATTAATGTTCAACTTAATCCCAACTTAATCCCCATCCAGCTTTCCGTTCCATATTATTGAGTGGATTATGATATTGCTAACTGTAAGCATACAAACAGAAATGAGCCATTATAGCATATAATATGGAATAGTGGATACTATCCTCATCAGCTATAATCTTATTATGGAACTTTTCATTTCACAAGTAACTCGGCTATACATTCTAGAAAATACAGATCCTAATGCCGGATGTGCACCACTTCATTTCCATGAATTCTGAAGCTATGTGAACTCCTTTGGTTGAGTGAAAGAAAAGTCAGAACTGAGCTATAATAATGTTGATTTTATGCTGTTGAGGCAGCTACTTTGGTAGGTAATTTGAATAAATGGCAAATAATTTTGCTCATAACGTTAGGCAACACACAAAACCTTGTCAAAATTGGTCAGTTGAATATTATGAAGTTTCTTTAACAGACTAATACTTGGAGATACAATTCAATTATATAATTGAGGTATGTGATGAACTATTTTTTACTATTTCTTCATTGGATGTGAACACCACTGGAAAGGTCAGTGCCTATTATCCAATTATCACAACCAATTATCCTTGAGAAGGTGACCTTCTTTGACCATTACACTTTGTGTGGTGTAACTAGATCCACAGCCCTGGGGAACATATTATCAGATTTTGACCCTGCAATGATGAAGAAATGGTGATCTATTTCCAAAACAGGATGTTATGTGAGTTGGAGAGGAACTTGCAAATGGTTGTGCTCCATATACCATTTGTATTGGTTCTTCTAAGTGGGAGAAATTTGCTAGTTGGAAGGTATAGTTGAAGAAGACTTAGTAAGTTCTTGCAGTATGACTTATAGATGCCTGCCCTCTGTGTATACTTGACAAAAGATAGTGCACATTTTATGTAGTAGATGCAGTGCAAATTAAGCAGGCAGCTTTATCCTGGATGGTATATATGTTTCTTGGATATTGTTGGAGTTGCAATCATCCAGCCAAGTGGGAATAATCCATCATGCTGCTTACTTGTGCAAGGATCTGGGAAGTAAACAGTTGAGTTACTTGCTGCAGATTTCCTAGTTTCTGACCTCTTTGCTTTGTGGTCTTGTTTCTGAGGTCTCAGTATTTCTGGGGCTGATTCTGTTAAGTGTTTGGTCAATAGGCACTGTGAGGGTGTTGATATTGGGAGACTCAGTAATTGTAACTCCGTTGAATCTCCAAGGAAATGTATTTAGCGTCTGTCTTGTTAGAGATAGCCTAGCACTTGTTTGACACGAATGTTGATAGCCCAAAGCTTAAGTTTGATGCTTAGCTCAAACCTGAAAATTGTTCAGGTCTTGCAGCATACAGGAATGGATTACTTCAGCATTTGAAGTTACAAATGTCACTGAAGATTGTGTATTAATTAGCGAATGTCCGTGTTTCTGTCCTTGTCATGGAGGAAAGTTCATTCATGAAGGTGTTTGGGCTGAGGATGTGACATGAGGAACTCTTGGGACTGAGATGATTGGACTCCAAACACACCATCTTCCTTTGAACTAGATATGACTCCAATCACTGTTGCATTTCCCAATAATTTTCATTAAATTCAGCTTTGCTTCAGCTCTCACCTCCTGACTGGAATTTTGCTCTTTGGTCCATGTTTGGACCAGGCCTGTCATTAAGTCTGGAGATCATTTGTTGTGTAATTGCTCTTAATTGCACTGTTTACAACATTTTCCATCAGATTGCTATTGATTAAGGAAAGACTAATAGGTGGTAATTTACCAGATCTGATTTGACTTTTATGGGAATAGTATTCCTTGGACAATTTTCTACAAGTCATTTGGATGCCAGTATTTTACATGGATTAAAACAGCTACCAGAGGTATAGCCAGCTTTAGAGTACATGTCATCAGCACTGGAGTAGGCTATTATCTTGCTCGTGGCTTTTACTATATCCAATGTACTCAAAATTTCTTTATATCACATGAAGTAGGTCAAATAAGCTGAACACTGACTTCTGTGAATGTAGAAACATTAGTAGAAGGCTGAGATATATCATCTACTCAGGACTACTCTGCATTTCTGACTGAGGTTAGAAGAAAATGCTTCAGCCTTGTCTTCTGCATTCATAATTTACAACGTGCATACAGCCTCCCTTTCCTGCTAGTTATGGAACTGTCCATCACCATTCATGACTGCATGTGACAGGAGTGCAGAGCTGTGGTCTGAGGAACAGTCACTGGACTAACTCTACTTTCACTCCACAGATATTGCCACATCTGCTGAGTTTCTCCAACAATTTCTGTTTTTGGTTCAGATAATTGATCTGTTCTTTTTTATAGGGTTGCTTGACTCTGTCTATATCATGCCTCTTCCGATGTTTAGCTGTTTCTAAACAAGAAATGTTTTTTTTAAAGAAAAGAGGTAGATCCATAAGAGAGAGCTCAGGCTAGCCAGCCTAGAAAGGAACTCTTTGGATGTGTTTCCTTGGGACATTTCCTGCTCCAAAATCTCTCTTGGAAGAAGTATTAAGGAACCTCTGAAATATCAGAGGAGGCTGAAACAGAGAAGAATATTCATAAGAACGTAGGGTTCTGCAAGTGAAACAAAATGGACAAGGATGTGGAACAGGGAAGAAGCTCCCACAAAAAAATCCCTGGATGCAAGTTGTTTCAAATCTTCTACAAACCTTATGAGCAATGTAACTGAAAAAATGTTGCTTCAATAATTGTTTACTTTCCTTTTGGCAATTATCTGTTTCTGTCATTAATAATATTGATATCAGATCACCAGGTTGCAGAAAGCTGACTTTGCTTGAAGATAGTTCAAATATTCAGAATGCATTCAAATTCAAACATTCAGACTCATTTTGGAAAAATTGCAGATAAATGTGCACCAGAGATGTTGGCATTAATTCAAACAGTGAGAAATGTCTCAGTTAATGTGACATTCATTTATTTCCCTCATGATTCAAAAGCACATTTTCTATTTTGTGCACAAAGCTGATAAATCGTGATTCTGTAATTCACTGATTGTCTGTTTCTTATTTGTTTCAAGATATACAAATATTTTAATTATTGTTTCTGAAACATATCCTCATTTCTGAAATCTGTAAACACAGAGACTGAGACACTCTTTTATAATAGAGAGCAGTGGACGGTACGATCTCAGAGTTATGTTACAAAGAAGCAACTGGGATTTTCTGATGTAAAAATTTAAAGATTCCAAGATGGCAATTTTCAATAAATGTATCAGATAATCTACATTGTAATATACTGATATTTTATTAAATGGTGCTCCATGTAACTTTCCCAATATTGCATTACAATAAAGATATTACTGAAAACATAGAGGCAGGATGAGTGATGTACTTTAGTCTGCAAGGTAAGCATGAAAAAGTGTATCTACGTGACTTACTCTGTCACCCCAAAATAACAAAAAAAAACTGCCCCGCAGTTTTGGGGGTTAACATTAAAAACAGGAACAGCAGAAGATCTCTTGTGCCTGTTACATTCTACTGAGATGTAAATGTACTAAATGCCCACAAGGATAGCTGAAACAATAATGTGGATTCTTTATTTGAAGATTAGACTATTTTCCATCAATGGGCATTAGGTGGTCCAAGTGTAATCCATCTGATTTCTATCACTGCTGTTTCAGACTGACTATCAATCTTGCGACTAGCTTATCACATTCTGTAAAGGAGTATTGTGCCTCACTTGTCCCCAGGAAATGGTGTCAGAGCCAAAAAGCTCTAGTCCTCTCATAGATCTCACACAACTCGAGGGGCACTGCGGCTGTGACATCTCCCTGAGCCGGATGCTCCTCATCCTCTGCATTGACTTGCTGCTGCTCCTGGCCTTGTCATCAGCACTGATCCTCCTGAATCCACTTAAGTCTTCCTCAGAAGGCAGTAACTTGCAGCCCTGGGAGAAGAGGACACCCATCTCTGCACTACCCAATTTGGCAGGACATCCACGTTCCTGCCTGCAAAGCAGGGTGCCAATTTTCCCTGTCCTGCCATGTCCAGGGTTGATATCGGATCATGTGCAGGGCTGAGAATGGTTGTCTGTTTGCATGATGCCTTTTAAAATTGGCACTAGTGCCAGGAATACCCATTGATTCTGGGATATCTCGCAGTGGCGAGTTGTTTTGAGTAAGGTGAGTGGCAGAATGGGACTAGAATCAGACTAAAGGGGTGTGAAAGGGGCTGGTAGATGGTTTTTGAGGCAAGCTTCGTAAGAAAACTTGCTCGGCCTCACAGAGCTGAAATGCACCATGAAACTCAACAAAACTGATATTTAGACAAAAAAGAAAGCCTAAGATTCAGCATGGTGTTTATTACCAGGTGCCTCTGGTCTAGATCTGCTTAAGTGCATCAATAAAAGTCATCTGCAGTCTCTTTAATTGAAAGACACAGACTTTACACCTCACAAGATCTAGCCGCTGGGGTTGCACCTCAAAGGATCATTAGATTAGACCAAATGTACATGTTAGACAGACACAAAGGGTATGTACAAAAGTGATTAGAGTCAGATTGTCTCTGTAGTAATTATCCACTCTCATGAATTTGGATTCTACTTTGCACTTCGCATTGGTTATTACGTGAACAGTCAACTGAGGGAGACAAGGTGATGATTATTAAAAGAAGAAAGGAAAATGCTGTTCGTGATTGGGAAGATGTAGGTGTGGTCACTAGAACTATTCTCAAATGACTTGATTATACAGAACATCAGCAGAAGGAGCCTGTCGGTTTTACAGATGACTTTGAGAAGCTCTGGCCATAGAAAGCCCCTTTGTAGATGTAACATTCTATGGATGACAACAATCTTGACTGGCTGTTTGCAGACGCTAAGGATATGGCTCGGGTGAGGGGATGAATGACAAAGTACAGCAGGTTCATGTTCATTGCACCACTCCACCAGGGTGGGTCCTCAGCAATCCTAATAATGAGTTGCTAAACTGCAATGACATCCTGCCTTATGCAGTCATGGTGGCAGAATTCTGAGTTTGCATGCGTTCAGTCTGAGGTTCCACAGTTGCA